TCAACAAAGAAAAACAAAAAGGCATAGAACAGTTTAGAATATTCCTATGACAGATCATTCTGACAGTTTTGAAGTAAATTTAAACCGATCCAAAATGTAATTGTTGAAAGTATTGCATTGATTTAATAACATGGTTTTGCTGTTCATTCCAAATACATGTATTTACCCAGATTGTTTAATTATTTGCAATTTGTATGGACTTCTATAAGGATATGGTTGTCCCCAATGCTTTTGTTTGTACGGGATACGTTATTAATATATATATGTTTTGTCAATAAGTAATATAAAAAAAACATCGGTTATTCAAATTATGAAGAATGTTATTTTAGTACTGAATAAAATGAAAATTAAGATTTCCCAAAATAATAACCCTTGCAAAATATGATGTGGAAGCCATATTTAAATATTCTTAAGTTATACTCACTTTAAATTGTTGTACCTATCACGTACTCTATTTACAAAGTTTTTAAAATAATTTAAAATCTAATTATTTTCCCATTATAAATGATGTAGCAAGCATGTTCTAAAGTTGTTTTAACCATTAACAGCCAGAAATTGGTTTTTGAACGTAAAATCAATATTAATAGGAATTCGGATTCATTACCTACTAACGCCTAACACAAAATATCTAAATTAGAAACCTAAAAACTTCAATACTTCTATACTTTGAAACACAGACTTTTCCCTCAGTCAATATACTTCTTTAGGTCAACATACACAATGTATTCTCATAACGACCTCATACAAGGGCTACATTTGTTAAATCATTTTCAATTTACAAATAATTCCAAAAAAAAAGAAATCAGAGAAACAGTTAAAATTGTTTTTTATTTGCTAAGTCCTTAGAGCTTCCTATCCCCATACCCCCTCCCTGATCCTGTAATAGTTTGCTGCCTGAGCACACTGTTTGGTGCCTTAAGAAGGATCGACACCCCCTGCTGACCAATTATGTGGTACGCCAACAATAATCATATGATAATGTCTGCCTTTGATAAATTTGTATTGCATTTTTTGTAATTATTAATTGTCAAGTAATTGCCGGTATCCCCATGGCCATTTATGCAAGGTATAACAAATTGACAAATAATTAGATGAACATTTGATTTTCTTTTTTGGGGGGAGGGGGGTAGGGGGCAGGAGGATTTTTTGCGGATTGATTATTCATTTGATTTTAGCTACACATGCTTATTTTATTTAGTGGATATGATGTTTATCATCAAAATCATCCTCCTCCAAAATCAAATGGTAATCCCTTTACCTTTCAACTTCATATCTACATGTACCTACAAACTTAATATTATAATAGTCCAAGCATGTACTAACCTCTGTACGTTTGTCTTCTGGTCAAACTCTCCTGTCCCCTATTTTTGTTGCTCTCAAGAAAGTTTAGCTTCTACATACCCCTCGTCTGGGAAATGTCCTACTATAGCGAGAATTTCTCCTGACGAAAGGTTGCAGTTCTCATTATTTAAATCCGATTTAAAACATATGAAGAAGCAGTCAAATACCTTGCTGTTAACAAATCACTGTTAAATCTGAGAGCCAGACAGGTTATTCGACTGGTCCACTGAGACTCAATTTCACTGACAGCCACAAATGTTTGCATATATACTAATTTTTACTTATTCTTTGATATAAAATATCAATGATTAATGATAAAATGTCCAGTTGACATACGATTGGATCGATACGATGACCCAATTTATAGAGAAAATAAATAGGTAACTCCATAAAATTTGACAGAGCTGAATTACGTTACATTCCCAAATCAAACTAATAGATCTTATCCGCTAAGGGGTGTTCCTAATAACAGGAAGCTGGTACAAAAAAAAAGAAAGTTGAATTTCCGGATTATACAAATTGAACATTCCGGAAATTTTCTCAGGTGTCCCACACAAAGCAAAGGTGTGAAATTCAGAATTTTGCAACAAAAACATCTGTTCAGCGATACAGGCCAAATTTATATGTGCGAATATGTGTATGGTCTTAACCCCTATAACAAAGTAAGTTTTTAAATAAAACAATTTCGCCTGCCATGAGCCAGTAAATATTTTTTTTGTTATAAATATAAATGTACCCGCGTCAATCACAAGATACACATATGCATGCTAGCACTATACATGGAATAATGTTCCTGTCAACCTTTCACATCAATTCACAGTAAACATTATGTCATTGTAAAATCTTACTGTCCTTATCCAGCAGGTTTTGTCCTATTGCTATACCCAATTGCATTATGTATTCATCTCTACAAACTAATCAAGTGATAGAACAGCTAAGCGAATTGCTTCAGTAAAAGCTTGTTAGTGTGAAGTGAGAGCAGTGAAATAAAAATAATGCAAAGAACAGACCTCTTCGTATCTAGATGGAGGGATTACTCAATATCCTGTACAGTCTAAAATCAAGGACATAACATTATCCGGCTTGTCAAAAACTGCATCATTGAGGTTTACATCTTTTAAAAACTTGGCCATATAGAAGTTTCAAAAATGGATTTATTACTCTTTTTTAAGCGGCACATTAGACCAAAAAGTGTTTCCTATCTTAAATATCATTTTCACATAATAAGCAGGTTAAATCATACTTTTTTTATGAATTTGAAGTTAAAAGGTAGCAATCATGTCTGCATTTTATGCTTGCCCTTGGAATTGAGGACTTTTCCAATTTTTTTGCTCTCTGTCATACGTGTGGATTGTCGAATATTAATTGATCAATGTTAAAGTTCCTTGTCTAGCTTTGGCTTTACTTTATACCCTTTTTGGTTTGATCAGCTCTTCAAAAAAGAGGCAAAGGGTACCAAAGAGATATCCAACATTTTGTTTAACGTTTGTATTAATTTTCGGATCTTCAAATATTTTGGCATAAAGCAACACTGAAGAATAAATAAAGGAACAAATCAGCAAAATGAGAAGCACAACAAGTTTCCATAGGAATGCAAATTGTTTGTTGAAAGGATGTAAGTAATTAGCCAATGTAATCAAAACTCCGGTGTCATTACTGTATGATATAGATGTACTCGCGGGGGAAAAGGAAAGTGACCCATTATGCAATACCGGTACGTTCGAACCTGTGATCGAGGTAAACTGACTTTTTGCATTAAAGTCCATTGTAAAATACTTTCTACAATTAATTTAACAGTAATGTTTGTGTAAATAAGCTTAAGGACATACACAATTGAATAGTCAGTATAAAATTCATCAATTTCACAAGTGCAACACGTAACTGTTGTCTTTGACACAGATAGAAATGGAATGAGTTTGATGGGTTTGAAGTTAATTGCGGGCAATACGGCTTCTACCACCAATTAAAACTTACCATCAGGAAATAGCCAGCAGTGCTCAAGGTAGCGTTAAAACACCAATCAATCAAATTACCTTAAAATAAAGTACAATGTGTTATGATTATTTGGAAACCACTTGACTAAATCTACTAAATGAAAATACAATAAAAATTCAGGTCAAGTTCCAGTTTGATGGTTTTCTTTACAGAATTATGCCATTTCGTTACCATAAAAATTGATATTTCTTTGGTTTAAGGAAGGTACCTCTTAACCAAATATTTTGAAATTTGAACACAATGTCTTAGATCATAAAAGTACTGATTAAGTTCAGTATAATGATTTTGACAATTAAATTATTCACCTTACTTACCTTAAAATTAATATTTGTTTTTGGTGTCAATGTGTTAATAAAAGTATTTTTTTATGCCCCCGTCGCAGCGAAGGGGGCATTTAGTGTTACCCTTGTCCAACTCCGTCTGCGCGTCTGTCCGTGCGTCCGTATGTAGTACGTTCCGAAATTGGTTTTCGTTCTCGAACTTTAGTTTGTCCCAAACACATGTTATGAAACTTATACACAATGTTCATTATCACAAAACACAGGTCAAATTTGAATTGATGTGTCGACACTTTTACCATTCTAGATTCATGTCCCTTTATTAGGTTATATGCAAGCGAGGGCATCATATGTGTCCCATGGACACACTCTCCAAATATTCATATGTTAATGTAGTGTGGGAGGCTTCCCCAATCTTGGATTGTTAATCAGAAAACAATAGGTATAGAATTTTAATCAAGTCAGCAATCTTCAATGCAGTAATGCAATTTACTTATAAGAATTTTAGTTTTAATGAACAATTGTATGTGCTTTTTTCTTATAATTACTAAAAATTTTACAAAAGTGGAATATTTTTTATTGATTTCAAATTGTGTTACCCTATTGTTTAAATCAAAGGGAGGTACTTCAGAAATTGTATAATCTATGAAGGAATCTACAGGATTGTTTTCTATTTCATGTTTGATCTGATTAATATATACAAAATGTGTCATTTTTTACAACCCATACCTTGAAAATAGCTCGTTAACCTATCATGTTTATAATATTTTTTGATAAAGTCAAAAATAAACTGCCAATGCCATGGCAAAAATGATAAACGACTGAAAAGATAAACAATAGTACAAAAAGCACAACACTGAGCATCATATATGAAATATGAAATACAGGTCAGGGTCAATTCGAATTTTCATTTCTCATTTCTTATTGTGAGACCAGGGTTATATGGGTTCCTAGAACACCAAATTCTAATATCAGATGACCTAAAATTGTTATTCAATTTGACTAAATATTTAGTATTTTTTTCATTAATAATGTTCTTAAAAATTGATTGAAATGGAATCATCTTTTATGACAATTGTTTTTGTGAAGCAGTTTGAAGAATTCTGGCTAAATACTCTTCTGTATAGTGTTAGTGCAGTGTTTGTTGTCCATAAATGTACACAACAACACACTCAATGGACAGTAACCAAAAAATCAGATGTAAATATAGCTCACAAATACATACAGCCCATAAGTTATGATATAAATTTTAAAGATATATAAACAAGTATGCAAATCTGTATCAAACGGATTGATCATCTAGAACATAAGTTATATCACTGTCACATGTACAGATATTCATGAGTTACTTCTGGGCATGAAGATATGTTATTGAAACACACTAGAGACTGTACATAAAATTTTAATCTTGTATTTCTATAACATATTGCAAATAAACACAAGCAGATTATTTCTGCTAACATATTCCTATTGTCTTTAATCGTCTTATCAAGTCTGTATGTACATGTTTCACAGTATATTCCAAGACAGATATGTCAAAGAAGTACAATAGTTCTTTTTAACGAAAAAATAAAAAAATAAACGTCCTCTGCACATCTTTGGCCAGTTCTCCATTGCAAAGTCAGATAAAAATAAACCTTTCATTTCCTCTCTTTCTTCCGTAACATTTGACCTGAACCTGAAAAGGCTTCAAAATCTTTTTCCTCCTCCTGCAGAAAAGAAAAGTTACAAAAATGAACTGGATGGGTTAGATCAAATACATACAGATATATACGTTTAAAGAACTATAAATACAATAAGTTGTATAATTCAGTAACTGATTTTAGTTTATTGTTTTTTCATAAATCAGGCTGTTGCTTTTCTCATTTGAATTGTTTCACAATTTGTTAGAATTGGGCCTCTTATATCTTACCATACAGTATAAGTTTTGCATATTACATAGTCTTGTAGAAGGCCGTACAGTGACCTATAATTTCTTACATTTACGGCAATTGGTCTCCAGATGATAACTACCTCATAGGCAATCATACCACATCTTATTTTTAAAGTAATTATAATATATACACAAAGCATTAGGCTTTAGAGGTAGATGGAGTATTAATATAAAGTGAAACTGATGCATATACCATCCAATGATATAAAAAGAATTAATAGAAAATATTCAAATGTAACTGATTAAATTTCATTCAATGGCCATATTTTTTAAATCTTACATCACCAGTACTAAACCTATACAATTCAAGAAATTTCAAATATATGTACAAATAAAACAGTTATACACTTAACTTATAGTTTCAAGCCATTTTTAAAAGAAACTTTGAAGTTTCATGTACCATAAATACTTTAACAGTAACCATTAAAGTATAATCATAGCCTTTATTCCTATTATGGTATATGAATGAAAAATATGTGAGGTTATGGTAAATGAATGAACAATATGTGAGGTAAAATAAATGTGTCAATGAGACTTTGAACCAACAACCAAGAAGATATTAAAAGTGCATCACTTTACCTCATTATTATCTGTGATATTCCTTCGAGTTCTGATAAATGTTATGGTACCTTTCTTATGTTTATAATTTGGGACTCCTCTGAAATTCAAATAAAATTGATGTAAATGCAAAAACCTTACTATTTTAGGTTCAGCAAGTATCTATAGCTTTTCTGATATTGATAATCTTTTAAATTTTGGGTTTTATTCTGTATATTCCAACATTTTTGAATTTCATGAAATATTAAGGAAATTATGTTTGGGTTACTAGAACACCTGTATGTAAAGGCATTTGAATTGTGAATCTTGTAAACATGATGCTAGATCATGTTGTAACATATTTTACATTAAACCAAGGTAAATCTAGGTCAAACATGTGGAAATTAAAGAGTAGGAATATATATTATTACAAAATTTCATATATTTAAAGCATACTTGGTAATTGACACACACTTTATGCACAACATAAATTAAATAGCGCAATATATAATAACAGAATATTTACATAAACAGGAAATAATTTCAGATGAAAATATTTAAAGAGAAGAAAATTGGATATGAAATGAAAATGATCAATATTAATACAGCACATATGGTCATTGGAACACTTCAAAAAGTTCAGAGAGTCTAAATCATTATGCCGTTGATGAAACATGGTACCTGATAAAAGGCCTTCATTTCTTGACAGATTTTTATGAAAATAAATTGAGAATGTGTCAAAGGGACACAGATGATGTCCCCGCTTGCATATAATGTTATAAAGGGGCATAACTTGAAAATGGTAAAAGGGATGCCACCAAAATTCAAACTTGATCTAAGGTTTGTTGTAATAAGCATTGTGTATAAGTTTCATGATATTTGGTTGAGGCAAACTAAAGTTAACGGAAACAAAAAATTCTGCAATTTTTCCATATATAAAGGGACATATCTCCAAAACAGTAAGGGTGATGCCACCGGAATTCGAACTTGATCTGTGTTTTGTGGTAATAAGCATTGTGTATAAGTTTCAGAACTTTTGGTTGAGGCAAAGTAATTAAAGTTAGAGTGCTGAAAAGACAAATTCAGCATTTTTTCATTTATAAAGGGTAATAACTCCAGAATGGTAAAAGTGACCCCACCATAATTTGAACTTGATCTGTGTTTGGTGGAAGTAAGATTTGTGTATAAGTTTCATAACATTTGGTCAAGGGAAACTTAAGTTGGAGTACAGAAACCAATTTTGAGACGTACGGCAGGGGCATAATTATATCGAAGTTGTAGATCATCAGGGTCATGGACGAGTTTGATAATCAGTGCCTATCCAACTATTTCTATAGTAGTGATCTCCCTGGGAAATAGAAACTACATGGAAAATTGCATTGTAAATGATAACACGTCTACATTTCTTATGATATTAATGAAAATGTTTTAAGAGCATTGATCTTATAATTGTGAAAAATACAACAGTATTATTATTGCACTTGTTAGAACTAGTATTTTTAAATTCTGATTCCTTTTTAAATAATATACAGCATTTTCTGAAATTGCATTCATTAATTTCAGTTTTGCCTACTGATCAATAATCACAACAATTTCTGACTTTAGAGTATATGTAAACATTCATTATCACAAACTTCAAGAAAATATGCTACATTTTGCTTAAATTACACAGCCGAAATTAAGCAGCTCATGCGAGCATACGTCCATATGACACTGGATTGATGACCCTTTATGAAGTGCTTCTTGTGTGACCTGGGCAGATAACCTTATACAAATTGTCGTTGTGCAACACAGGCTGATAGGCCTTCAACAGGGCCTCTAGCAATCCCTATTGAGTCCCACTTCTGGTCGTATATGTTTATTTAAGAAATAATTCATGGCAGCCGTAGATTTGTTTTCATTTAACCATGGGTTGGGCATTTATATTTGCTTATTTTATCCCGAGCGACAGCGAGGGCTAAAATACGAATATAAATGCCCAATCCATGGTTAAATGAAAACAAATCTACGGCTGCCATAAATTATTTCGATTCTAATAGGACAAATTCGGTAATTTTGTTAACCGTTAAAAAACCCTATACACACGATACTGTTTTGGCTGTTCCGTTTTACCCCCATATGATAATATTAGTAATATTATATTATTCAATAATAATTTTTCAAAAATCACATTTTTAACCTAGATATGTCCTTTTAATGTAATTTTATTGCATTGAGGCATACAAGAAGCTTTAAAACGCCCGGTGTTTACATTTGAAGCCGGAAGCATACATATGACGTCACCTTGTTTAGTTGCCATACAAAGACGATAACATCATTTCGCGGAATTTTCGTTTTATGGAATTTTAGACCGTAAATAAATTGAAATGGACTGATTTGTTTATTTTGCTTTAGAATAGAGATAATTATATTGTATCTGAATCTTGGCCTACGTAAACTATTGGTTTTGATGTCGCAAATTGAGAATACCTGGTAGTATAAATAAGTTGGGCGTAACGCAGAACAGCCAGTTTTGTGTATTTATGCGCTTATTGTTCGTAGGGTATCAATTTTTCATGGATTTCATGGGAATAGGTTAACCACAAATTCAAATGTTTAACAAAGTAAAAATTTTCTACTGGCGTTCGTATGCTGAATTTGGCAAAACCACGATATAAAATATCCATGAAATAATAAAGAAAAGAGCAAAATGATCTAAAAAAAAAAGAATAAAGAAATGAAGACCCCCCACCCCCCTCACATCCAGACCGTCATTAATACATGGCATTTTTCATTTCATCCAGGCTAACATCCCTTGACCAATATCAGAGCCTTCTATTAATCTGCATTAAATACTTTGATTTCACAAACATCAGGTTTTACTAACCTTTTATGTGGAACTGAGTTTTTAGCTTCTTGGGCAGCATCCAGACCTTTCTTTTTTTCCATCTAACCTATTACCAGAACCACTAAATGCCTACAATTAAATATTGAACAAAGAGTTTTATAAAGCCATGTAAGAGGTAAATTATAAAGTGGGAGGAGGCTGGAAATTAATCCATATTCAATTTTAATGAATCCATATTCAATTTTAATGGATCCATACATTCAATTTTAATGAATCCATATTCAAGTTTAATGAATTCATATTCAATTTTAATGAATCCATATTCAATCTTAATGAATCCATATTCAATTTAATTCTACGTTTATATGTATAGAATAATACAGAATACATAAGTTTTTAATTCTAAATGTTTTCAATACAAGGATTACATGTTATACATATATGAGTCATATATTGCTTTGACTCTTGAAGATTATCAATGAAATATGTATAATAATGATAATGAATCTATAAAAGAACAGAGTTCCAATGTCCCCTGCGTTGCAAATATTTTATCTATCCAAGGTACAAGGGCAATAACTTAAAAAAAAAACAATTTTTTATGTTTTTTTAAACTTTTTATTGATATCTTAAGAGAAATAAAGGCTTCAAAGCAAATGCAATGTGATTTCCTTTATAATTTATATTTCCAAGGGGCATAACTCTTTAAAAATATTTGATCAGAACTTATTTTCAAAGTGTCAAAGACATTGCTGATACAGACCTATGATATAAGTTTCAAAAAATTTATAAACACATGAGAGTGATAACATTGCAATTTTCCTTATAATCAATATTTTCAAGGAGCATAACTATTTTTTAAAAATAATTGATCGGCACTGATTTTTGAACTCTTCAAGTACATTGATGATATAAACCTATAATAGAAATTTCATAAAAATCTGGCAAGAATTGTACACATTAGAGCACTCATAAGGCAATTTTCCATATAATTAATATTTCCAAGGGACATAACTCTTTTAAAAATTATTGATCGACACTGAGTTTCAAATACGTCCAAGACATTGCTTATATAAACCTATGATTTAAGTTTCATAAAATTCTGGCAAGAATTGTACATATGAGAGGGCTTACAATGCAATTCTCCTTATAATTAATGTTTCCAAGGGGCATAACTCTTTTAAAATAATTGATCCGCACTGATTTTCGAACTCGTCCAAGACATTGCTGATATAAACCTATGCTGTAAGTTTCATAAAAATCTGGCAAGAATTGAACACATGAGAGCGCTAACGATGCAATTTTCCATAAAATTTATGTTTCCAAGGGGCATAACTCTTTTAAAAATAATTGATCGGCACTGATTTTTCTATCTCGTCTAAGACATTGCTAATATAAACCTATAATTTAATATAAGTTTCATGAAAATCTGGCAAGAATTGTACAAATGAGAGCGCTAACGATGCAATTTTCAATATGATTAATGTTTCCAAGGGGCATAACTCTTTTATAAATTATTGATCCGCACTGATTTTCGAACTCGTCCAAGACATTGCTGATATAAACCTATGCTGTAAGTTTCATAAAAATCTGGCAAGAATTGAACACATGAGAGCGCTAACGATGCAATTTTCCATAAAATTTATGTTTCCAAGGGGCATAACTCTTTTAAAAATAATTGATCGGCACTGATTTTTCTATCTCGTCTAAGACATTGCTAATATAAACCTATAATTTAATATAAGTTTCATGAAAATCTGGCAAGAATTGTACAAATGAGAGCGCTAACGATGCAATTTTCAATATGATTAATGTTTCCAAGGGGCATAACTCTTTTATAAATTATTGATCTGCACTGATTTTCCAACTTGTCCAGGACATTGCTGTATTAACCCTACGATATAAGTTTCATACAAATCTGGCAAGAATTGTAAACGTGAGAGCGCTAACAAGACCGTAAGCCCGGTATTTCCAGGTCCCCCGCAACGCGTTGTGCGGGGGGAACAAATTTACTTGTTAAAACTTTAAGAAAGGAAAACAAAAAAAGGTTTTGAAAACCTAAGAAAATAAATATGTTATATTTTAAACATACTGCAAAAAGTCTATTTATTCAAATAATTACACTCTATATTTTCATCTCATTTAATTGGTACCTACTGTAATGTCTTATCCAGATATTCGGACATGTCTAATGGATTCTGAAATAAACAGAGAAAAAATATTAACTGAAATATATATAAATTTCCCAATCAAGAAATGTCATTATTAGTGTACCGTAATGAAATCTGATCATA